GCAATTTTTGACAAAATGAAGAAATGGAGTTTGATACATTTTCCTTAATTGTTGCACCTGATTTTGAAGTTCTCATTCAACTTCATTAGATGTTCGGGACACATGTCAAATATTCTTAGCTTTTTTATTATATGAATTGGATAAAGTAATATTTTTATTTAAGAATTTTGAGAAATGAGAAAAATTATAAACATAAAGTTATAATTTGGTTTAATGTTAACTAATATTTCTTCTTCTGTGTTGTTTTTAGTTGGAAATTCAAGTTTATGATTTGCATAACATAGAAATGATGACAAATGATGGTTTTCTGGATAATTGGTACTTGCATTATCTGTGATTATGACTGTTCCAACTACTTTCAAGTTCATTTTGTAAAAATAACTTTGAGAGATTTGAATTCGTGAATTGTTCATTGCAACAAATGATCGAGTTCTAATATTATTATCATAAAAGCTGCAGTTATCAATATAAAGAGTATAATCACTTCGCATAAAGTAATAACAGTCGTTTTCGAAATAATTGCAAAATTTAATTTTAAATTCGAGTGAAGTAGATGATCCTAAATGATATGCTTGTGATCCTGAATTATTTGAAGCTGTTGTGTTTGAAAACGTAGAAAATGTTACGTTTGAGTTAGAAGAACAGTAAACTTCGTAGAAATTTCGATGATTTAAATTAATATTCGAAATATTGATAGATCTCATATACATCTCGCCATTGAATAAATAAATGTTGCACTTAACAAGGTTGTTTTCGCCTCTGCTCGATGTTATCGTAGAATCAAGTAAATAATTTTTAAATGGTGGCTCATTTGATGTAGAAACTTTACAGTGAGCGCCATCTTTTGCTGATTTGGATCCAAAACTGCATATTCGATCTTGAATACACTCTCCTTTTTTTGTATTCAAGTATAATGAGCCGCCTTCTTCTGTTTTATGTACGCATCTTTGAAATGAGCTTGATTCGATGAGAAACTTAAGATTGTTATCAGTTGAACTTGTAATTCGGATGGCACCTGTAGAATTAAGGCAAATAAAGAGACAACAAGATATATAATAGCTGTCTGATGTATCAGTTTTAAGTTCATTGCTTTCGTTTCTCTATGCAGTGTATTCGATTGATGAATTGAAGAAATCTTCCCAATTTTCATGGGAAAATAAGAAAAATCTAAATGTTCGATAAAACGTTTAAAGGTTACTTTCATATTTTTCATCATCCACATATCGATTCATTCAAAAAAATCTTCTGATTTCGTATATGGAAAACATTTAAAATTTTTGTAAAAAATGATCGGAATTTACAAACTATCTCAATTTTTTGTTAACAAGTGTTCTCCAAATGGGGAAGATTTAATCCCATGGGATAACATGATATTCTTATTTTTCTTATATAAATCATTTCAAAATTGCTGAATTGATGTTATTTTTTCCTAATCAAAATAACTTCAAGAGATCTGATAAATCTAAAGCTATAATAACGATATTTGCTAGCTTGAATTACTTTCCTGATAGGTGCCTTTGTTGGAAATTCAAGTTTTATTTTTGCCAAACAAAATTTAGAGGACAAGTGATGATTATCTGGGTAAATATAGCTTTTTCCTTCCATCATTGTGAAGGACCCAGATGTTTTTGGTTCAGAATTGTCCAAATAGCATCCTTTGAGCTGAATTCGTTTATCATTGTTCACAGAAAAGTATTTAGTCTTAACATTATTATTGGAAAAACTGCAATTAAGAATTAGTAGATCATAATCAATGCCAATTAGCCAATTACAGCTATTTTCGAAGTAATTGCAAAAGCGAATTTTGAATTTAAGTGAAGATGAGCCAGTATGAAAAGCTTCATAACTGTTTGCAAACGTAGATGTGTTGTTTGAAAATGTGGAAAGTGTAATGTTTGAGTCAGAATGACAATAAATTTGGTAAAAATTTCTATAGCTCAGCTTTGAGAATGAAATATTGATGGATCTCATAAACACTTCTCTATTATATAGATATAAGTTATAAAATCCTTTGTTGCTTTCATCACCGCTTGATGTAATTGTTGAATCAAGAAGATAATTCCTAAATGGCCGGGCAGATGAAATCTTGACATAACAGTATGCGCCACCATTTTCTGATTTAGAGCCAAAACTGCAGATTCGATCTTGAATAAATTCACCATGAGCTGAAATCAGGTATAAAGATCCACCTTCGCTTGTTTTGTGCTCACATTTATTAAATGAGCTTGTATCAACGAGGAATTTAAGCTTGTTACTAGTGGAATCTTCGATTCGAATTGCACCGGCAGAATTAAGAGTATTAAAGAGACAATGAGATATGTAATAGCAATTTGTTGTCTTATTATCGAGTCTTCCTTCCTGATTTGCATATGAAACGTATTGGACTGATGAATCGAAAAAATCTTCCCACTTATGATGGGAAAAAGAGAACAAATTAAATACAGGATTAATCCACTTAATGTTACCAATTTAAATCTAGTAATTTTTAATCGATTTTAAATTTGGAATATTGTTTTCATGATCAGAGTTTACATTTATAAAATAAATTGAAATAAAATAATCGTAATCGAATTACAACAGTTTTTTATTAAAATTGAATATGAGAAGTTATCATTAATTTTCAAATTACTTCATCATGAATGGAAAATAAAATAATAATAAAAAACTTTTTCAAACTGTAACAGGACTGAAAATTAATCTATATCATTCATTCTAGAAGCAATAAGAAAAGGGGATCTTAAATTCATGTGAATTGAATGATGCAGATTGATGTGCTTCATATTCATTTGATTGTGATGATTTGGTGTGAATAGCTCTAGTAATTTTTTACTATGCCAATTGCAGTTCGAAGTCAAATACTACATTTTGTCTTGAAGAGAAGAAACAATCTTCCTAAGAATCGGAAATTGTTGGGATGTTGGTTTGAACGATGATGATTTACAATCAAACGTAGTAAACAATTCATCAAGAATGTTGTTGAAAGGAATGAGACATTCAATAGAATTCTTATAAATAAGATATGAATAACAAATTTCACCAAGATAAATTTTAGGTTCATTTTTTATTTATCTTTGATAACTTGTCGCAGCAAATTTGAAATGATCACGTGTATTCAAACCAGAAGTACTCAAAGAAATATTTTAAGCTGGAGAACATTTATTGAATTAATTCTATTTAAACATGCGACAAATAAATTAGAATTGATATTAATTATCGTTTTTGAACTTGGAAGAATCCAGATTTTTGATAAAGAAATTGAATTGGGACTGAACTTTGTTTTTGTTCGATAAAACTTATTTTATTAGTGAAATGATGATTTTCTGGATAAATTTCACTTGCATTCTCTGTTATTATGATAGATCCTTTTTTATCTTCATAAGTACTAATGTCAGAAATATCAAAATAGCATCCTTTAATATGCATTTGGCCTGATCCAACTGTTGAAAAATGTCGCGTTTTGATTATATTTTTGTTAAAACTGCAATTCATGATATCAAGCTGCAATTCACTGAAAAGAAAGTGATGGCATTCATTTTCAATGTAATTACAAAATTGAATATCGAATTCAAGCGAAGAAGATAATGCATAATGATCTGCTTGATAAAATCCCATAGTAGCTTGTGCTTTATTGTTTACAAATGTGCAAAATGTAACATTAGACTTAGAACTACAATTAGCATGATAAAAATCATCAGAATTCATTTTTGAATATGAAATATTGATTGATTTCATATTAATTTCTCCATTATTCATCTGAATATTCGCTATTCCAGAGAAATATTTATCACCACTCCAAGTAATTGTTGAATAATGAAGATAATTCCTAAATGGAGATATAGTTGAAACAGTAATATGACAAAAAGCACCATGGTTTTGACTTGATAATGAGCCAAAACAGCAGATTCGGTCTTGAATGCACTCACCTTTATTTAAATTTATGTACAAAGAGCCACCAGGCATTCCATAAAGCCTGCATTTGTAAAATGTACTTGTATCAATGAGAAATTTAATATTTTTGTTTGTTTTGCCTGTGATACGAACTGCTCCTGACTTATTACAGTACATAAAAAAGCAAGAAGAGATATAATAGTTATTTTTAATAGTCGCATTTATTCGTTCATTTTGATTTGAATAGAATTCAAAATCAGTTAAATAATCGTAAAAAAATGACCATTCCTGATGTGAATTGGAGAGTAACATATTTAAGGAAGGGCGGATCTGGCTCTGGAGATTATTTAAATTGGCTTGAAATAAATATGAAAAAATGGTTGAAAAATTATTTAGTAAATTATTTCGGACTTTTCAGAGGATTGAGCGAAGTTCAATCCTCTGAAACAGTCCGAAAAAATTTTAAAGTCTGTCTTTGCTTGAAAAGAAAAACAAAATTGATCCGGACTTCTTGAGTCAAATGCTTAAAATTTTTTTGTGAGGAGTATAAAAACAACTTTATATATAATAATTCATTTATTAAAAATACCCTAAAATTAATTTTGAATTCAAATATTTTGTGAACATCACCGATTGGTGAGATTATTTATCTCTCAATTTATTTTCAAGAATGCTTCTTTGATGCTCCGCGGGTATCCATATCCACTTTTAGATCTTTTGTAGGATCACTTAGACTACTTCCATAGGTAGCTATCCATTCGAGAATACCTCTCATTTTTCTAATTTCATCCAAATTATCGAAATTCGTTTTTTCAAAATCCCAAGATTTTTAGTTTTTTAGGACATGTTTAATGTTATTGTTGATATTACTATTTTTTTCTCATGCTCTATTCAATTTTTTCAGAATAAAAAATTCTTTTTCTATTAACTCATAGAATTGTTTCAGTGTCTTAACTCAAAAGTCCGGAAATATCAATTTTGTTTCTTTTCAATCAAAGACAGACTTCAAAATTGAAAAGTTTCATAAAATTACCGGTAAATTTTTTTGAAAGAAATATTGTCAGGAAAAAAAAATTGAAATTTTTGAAAAAGAAAAAATAAACAATATGTTTTTATTCCATGGTTAAACTGGCTAATGATGTCATGAATGAGTTAATAAGAGAAATGAAACGAGAAAGATTATGAAAAACATCAGTCGAAATTCTGTTGGATGCAATCGAATTCAGTTTGTCTTGAAGAGAAGAAACAATCTTCCTAAGAATCGGAAATTGTTGGGATGTTGGTTTGAACGATGATGATTTACAATCAAACGTAGTAAACAATTCATCAAGAATGTTGTTGAAAGGAATGAGACATTCAATAGAATTCTTATAAATAAGATATGAATAACAAATTTCACCAAGATATATTTTAGGTTCATTTTTTTGCGAAATACTGTTATCTTTTAATACTTCTTGGCAAATTGTTGATATTTCTTCATTACTCATCATTTGTTGTTGTCTATTGAATAATGCATCAATTGATGACATGATTTGATGCATCAATTGTGTTGAATCCATTGATTTTGTGTCAACAGATTGAATCTGAAGAATTCTCGACAATTTTTCGTAAATTGATTGCAAAGATGCTTTGTTTTGGACTTGATCTTGTTCTGTATGTCTTAATTCGCGTTTTGCATTACTAACAAGTGTTGCAAGCTCTTCAAGAAGCTCAATACATTTAGAATAAACTTCATTTGCATTTGAATTGTCTGAATTTCCTGTAATTCTTTGTATTCGCTTGAATATGTCTGTAAGATCTGATTTTTCTTCAACTTTTTCTACTGGTTTCTGCGTTTTTGACATGTTTTCAACTGATGACAAAGCATTTCTAATTGTTTCTTGGTTTGTTGTCTTGGAAGCGTTTGTTTTACTGATTTTACAAAGTCTTATTTCTACTTCTTGCAAGAAAACGTTGTTTGACTCGTTCTTTTTGTTAATTGCAAGAATTAAATCGTCAATTGTTCCTGCTTTGATGCCAATTGCTTCGCAAACCTTTTCTAATATTGTATTACTCTTGACAATGTATTGTGCTTCTGTATCTTTCACTTTTTTCTCGTAATAAGCGTTATTATTCTTTGCAGCTTGAATTGCGAACCTACAATAATCAGTTTCTTTATTATCTGTTTGTTTAAAGCAAGCAACTATCTGTTGTATACAGTTTTTGTATTCATCTCTTTCTTTTTTCAATTTTTCGATTTCTTCTTGGAAATTTTTATAAACTTTAGAGGCATTTTCGGCTCTTTCCATTACATCTGTGTTCTCTGTACCGAAAACTTCAAGAAATTGAGAGATTTTTTGTAATTTATTTTCATAATCTTTGCAACTTTGGCATTCATCAGATTTCATGCTGTTTTTCATAATCTGCATAATCTCATGTTCAGCTAAATCTTCTGTTTTCTCAATATTATGTACCTTATTAAAAGCATGTTTGTATTTTCCAAGATTTTCAATAGCGCTTTCAAGCATATTGACTTTCTCTTGTCTGTACTGTATTTCCGCATTCAATTTAGTCTTATCTGTCATTAATTTGTCGATTGTATCTTGTAATTTTTCTCCTCTCTTCAATAATTCCTCATTTTTACCTAAATATTCATCCCTCATTTTGCCCATATCATTATTAAACGTTTCCTTAAAATTCAGAGCACATTCGGTCAAAGCGTCAAAAAACATGGAAATGTGGGGAGTCGTTTCAGGGCCAAATTGGGATCTTGCGTCGATAATGAAGTCGAATAAAGGGAGTTCTGGGTTAAGAGTAAATGGTCGACTACTTAATTTAAGCTGAATCATCTGTTGTTGGACTTCTTCATCATTTGTTTGTTGTTTTTGGATTTGCCAGAGCCTTTGAGTATCAGATTGTACAGGTTGTGATCCATGATACTTAATACTACGTAGTTCGCCACATTTGTCGCGTAATTCGAGTTGATCAATAATTTGTTGAAGTAAAACTTGAAAATGTTGGTATTCTTCCATCAGATTCGATGCGTCTGCATCATATGTAACAGATTCTCGTGAAATGTTAAGAACGTTTCCGAAAATTTTGAAACATTTTTCGTTAATATCGTTTCTGCATATTTCTTCTATAGAAACTTCGATTGCTTGACTTGCTTCAAGCCTTTTCTCTGTCTCTTCGAAAGAAGAAATGATTCCTTTGCGTAATGCTTGTAATTGAGTCATAATTGAAGGAGCAAGCTCAATAATATCATTTAGATGATGATCTATTAGTGGCATGAATTGTGCCTCGCATGATTTTTCGAAAATTTCTAGAAATTGAGTAAAATTATTCCAATCTTTAATAAAAGGAATAGCAACAGTCTGTATTGCATGCGCACCTGATATTAGGCCTGGTTTCTTGCCGGGTTTTAGACTTAATGCATTGCCGCACATACGAATTAAAACGTTAAATAAACTATTAAAAGAATTATACGCATTTAATAAAAAAACCATGTAATTATTTCCGAATTTTGCATGTTTTTCGTGCTTTTTGTAAAATAACTCGGCTGATTCAGCAAAAGTTTGGAATCTATTTTTCAATTCTATCGTAACATTGGTAGATTCTCTTGAATTATTAGTTGCTTCTTGTCGGCCAGATACTGCTCTCGAATTCAGACCTGATGGCTTAGAAACCGGCTTGAATAAAGCTGGTTTCCCTAATTTATTCATAAATTGAAAAACGTTCTAAAAATTTTATCGAAAAATTTTTTCAAAAAAATCTGTAATTGGTTTAACAACTCCTTTAGAAATACGTTCAAGAACGGTTTTATTTTCTTTAATATTTTAACTTTATTTTAATATTTTCATTTACAGATTAATCAGATTCATGGCAAATTGCTTCAAATATTACAGATTTAAATCGCCTCCATGTATGTCTCGGGATTATCTTAGGTCTTAATATATGAATTCTAATATTTTTACATTTTCCAATGTGAAATAGTTACTTAGCTGATTGTAAACTTAGTTTAATTCCATGAAATCTGTATCTTATCATATGGCTTTTAATAACTTGCTTCCATGCATCATTCAATTATGATTAGATGTAATTACAAATTCTTGGCGTCAAAAATTTTCTCACTGGGTTTTCGTGTATCAATCCCAGCTCATTATATACGCAACCAATCAAAAATCTGATATGGGAGTCCAAGGCTAACTTTTTGTTGTCTACCTAATAAAAGAGGAAGCAGCATTAGTGAGAATAATCGCAAATATTCAATTTAAATTATCTTTTTATTCTTAATTTAAAGTGACAAAAAGAATAAAAAACCTATTCTAAGGCATGTTGTTATGTAAATGAGACTAGACATCATATTTTATGTTATGAAAAAAAAATATTTAGAATTTTAGAACAAAATAAATAGAAAAAATAGCATAACTTATGGATGTGCGTATATTAAATTTAATAAATTAAGAGAAATTATTTTTGGCGCCAAAATTATTCGTTAACTCTCAAATTTTTCTGAGTCAATAAGCCGCTAAAAAGTGTCATTTTGTTTCGTTAGAGAAAGATGAATTGTCCATGTCATCCAATCGGGAACAAGGGGGATGGGGATTAGATGATAAAGAAGCAATTCATGCTCTCTATCTGAAGCAATCAGACTTACCAGCAACAATGTGAATCGATTTGGCTTTAAAGTTAATATAGCAGATCAGCTTGTTACTGGAGAGACTAGGCATTACGATTGATTCGCTGTAGTGCTCTACTTTAATTTAAGAGTAGTAACGGATAACTGAATTCCCAAAATTCTTTAGGTGATCCAAAACACTGTAGCTGCTTGAACTTTGGACGAGCCTCGCACCCCAGAGAATAGAAATCCCAATCTTGCTCATGTTTAGTTGAATTAGTCTGCAGCAGTACAGCTCTGATACCACAAGATCGTGATGTATACAAAGTCACAACGCTATTTGATTCAACAACTAGCTAGTTTTGACATCAAATTGCAAAATTTGACTTCGTTATGAGCTCTTTGTAGCAAAAATACATTACACTTAAAGACTAGTTGCTAGACTGTAGTAGTTTGTTCGTATATATCTATTTTTCCCCAACGTATTGCATACTACATTTTGACAAGACTTGCAACCTTATAGTAACCTCGTTGGGAATTGTTCAAGCAAAGCGTAGGTAGTTAAGGTCGAGTAAGAGTTCTTCTTAAATCTTTCACTGAATGAGTAGGTGTTGGAAGAACTGTTCTCTAAAGCGATACAGTTGCGCTACATGTTCGTCAACTTGTCTAGAAATAAATATATCATTTGTTTTATACGTTTTTTCGTAATAAATCTATTTGTATTTGTTGTATTTGAGTATGAAGATAACAAAAACTACGGCATAAGACGCAGTACACTGGGCTTCGTTGCCATTTTATTTACCATGTTAAGAATAAACTTAACAGACATGCTTTGTTTTCGACGAAGCCATCTAAAATAACGTACATCTAAATAAAACTAAAAAACTGTAAAATTTCTTTATTTGATAGTATACTTCAAATTATGCACTATACCTTCTAGAATTCTATAACACTCTTTGCATATAATTTTTTTAAAAAAAGTTATATCTCGACAAAAATATGATTTATCAATAGAGTATGTAAAATAAAACTCATTCGCAGTATTAAAAAATCGTAAATCTTTCCAAAAAAATTTTGAATTACAAATTTTAAAACTTAAAACAACATTTTTTGAAGCGAAAAAACGAAATCTAATTTTTTTTGGAAAATTTAGAATAAATAGAGCTCTTTAACTCGTCGAATACAAATTGTTTTCAAGTTTTTTTCGACCGGAAATTGAACTTTTAGAGTTTATACAATAAGATTCACATGAAAAAATACGGGTTTAACAAAGAAATCACCAATATAAAGGTTTTTTAGTAGAACGAGATTGATAAAAACTATGGTATGATAAAAAGACGATAATTTTTTTGGCGGGATAATTGAAGAATATGAATGATTCGAATTACAGACATACTCTAGTCCGAAACTTACTATGGTTCGTGACTTATTTTTGACACAGAATAGCTGTAGACTAAGGCTTACTCTAGATCCAGACTTATTATACAATTAAATTTGCTTTTGGAATAAGACTTAATTTTAGTTACAAACTTATCTTAATATCAGACTTATATTTAGAATCAGACTTACTTTAGTCTAGAACTTACATTTAGAATCAGACTTCCATTTCAAGTCAGACTTACTTTCGTCCGAAACTTCATTTCAAGTCTGTCTTACTTCGTCCGAGACTTACATTTCAAGTCAGACTTACTTTCGTCCGAGACTTACATTTCAAGTCAGACTTACATTTCAAGTCAGACTTACATTTCAAGTCATACTTACTTTCGTCCGAGACTTACATTTCAAGTCAGACTTACTTTCGTCCGAGACTTACATTTTAAGTCATACTTACATTAATATCAAACTTATATTAACCTACGACTTACTTTTATTCCCAGACATCTTGATCCACACTGACATTGAAAACTACTCATACATCTAAATCCACTCAAACATAATCCAAAAAATGATAATGTAATGAAACTTTATAGAAAATTGAAAATTTCGGCAATTAAAAATAAAGTCGAACAGCATTGTAAATGCAACTGCAACATGGAAAATGTTTATAAACTATATGGTGTTCATATTCCATGTATTCATAACATCTTAGATGTAAAACCGGCCGATTTAGAAAAACCTAAAGCATTTCATATTGGAAAATTGGAATTCAATAGTTCGAAGAATATTCTAGTTTATGATGATGAAGACAATCCGATAGGAAAGGGTGATCGGAAAAATGAACAATGCAAAATTTCGGCTCGGAAAACATTTACAACCAAAGTTGAGAACGAAATTTACTTGTATGAAGAACAAGTAACTCCAGATATAGGAGTTAAAAGTCTTGTTCAACGCATTTTAAATCTTCCGTCAATTGACAAGGCAACAAGCTTCATGTTTAATCTTGGGATGAACATCGATTATGATACAATTCAGGCAATTCATTATATATCATCATTAAGAAAAACACATCCAGAAGTGATAGATTTGGCATTAAGTAATGCATATCTTCCGGAAGAATCAGATGAATATCAGCAAAACAAAGACATGATTTCAAAAATTATCGAAGAAGTTTTTGATAATAAAGACAAGGAAAGAGATCCGGATTTTGTTGTAAGAAGGAAGAGGAAAAATGGTTTGTGAAAAAAATATTTATATGAATAAAATGTGTATGATTATTGTTTATAAAAACAGTTAATAAATATGAGAAACTATTTAATTATTTGTTATATAAAGATTCGATATACAGAACAGAATGAAAAAGGATAAAAAAATTAATCAGAAAGATGTAAAAGTTTGGGAGATATAAAAAATATTATAGAGATAAAATATTTCCAGAGAGATAAAAAGTCAATGAAAGATGCAACAGTGTTAATGAGATGGCATAGTGTCTGAGAGATGCAAGAGTGTCTGAGAGATACAATAGTATCTAACAGAAGCAAAAGTAAGTGATAGATGCAACAGTGACTTATAGATGCAACAGTGTCTATGAGATGCAACAGTGTCTGACAGATGCAACAGTGTCTATGAAATTTAACAGTGTCTGAGAGATGCAAGAGTGTCTGAGAGATACAATAGTATCTAACAGAAGCAAAAGTAAGTGATAGATGCAACAGTGTCTATGAGATGCAACAGTGTCTGACAGATGCAACAGTGTCTATGAGATGCAACAGTGTTTGAGAGATACAATAGTATCTAACAGAAGCAACAGTGTCTGAAAGATGCAACAGTGTCTGAAAGATGCAACAGTGTCTGACAGATGCAACAGTGTCTATGAGATGCAACAGTGTCTGACAGATGCAACAGTGTCTATGAGATGCAACAGTGTCTGAAAGATGCAACAGTGTCTGACAGATGCAACAGTGTCTGACAGATGCAACAGTGTCTGAAAGATGCAACAGTATCTGAAAGATGCAACAGTGTCTGACAGATGCAACAGTGTCTGACAGATGCAACAGTGTCTATGAGATGCAACAGTGTCTATGAAATTTAACAGTGTCTATGAGATGCAACATTGTCTGACAGATGCAACAGTGTCTATGAAATTTAACAGTGTCTGACAGATGCAACAGTGTCTATGAGATGCAACAGTGTCTATGAGATGCAACAGTGTCTGAAGATGCAACAGTGTCTGAAAGATGCAACAGTGTCTGAAAGATGCAACAGTGTCTGACAGATGCAACAGTGTCTATGAGATGCAACAGTGTCTGACAGATGCAACAGTGTCTATGAGATGCAACAGTGTCTGAAAGATGCAACAGTGTCTGACAGATGCAACAGTGTCTATGAGATGCAACAGTGTCTATGAGATGCAACAGTGTCTGACAGATGCAACAGTGTCTATGAGATGCAACAGTGTCTGAAATGCAACAGTGTCTGACAGATGCAACAGTGTCTATGAGATGCAACAGTGTCTATGAGATGCAACAGTGTCTATGAAATTTAACAGTGTCTGACAGATGCAACAGTGTCTATGAGATGCATCAGTGTCTATGAGATGCAACAGTGTCTATGAGATGCAACAGTGTTTGAGAGATACAATAGTATCTAACAGAACAAAAGTGTGATAGATGCAACAGTGACTTATAGATGCAACAGTGTCTATGAGATGCAACAGTGTCTGACAGA